GTCGGCCGCTGTCCAGAGTAGAGTTAGGGGAAAGCAAGCTTAGTCCAGTTACATGTTATAGGTAAACTCATGAATGCTGGAGTTGGGTTCTACACCTAAATCGGATGGTGTCTAGATTCATTTATTAGGATTTATCACATGTTGACACCTAAATTGATGTTAGATATCATTATTCTAATTTTAATCATACATCATTCCTATTATTCATTATGATCCACACATTTTCTGTGATCTATTACTATTTCTCCTTGCAAACTATGTATAAAATTGTCAAATGAAAACTTATATTTTTACTAATGTTTTAAACATGCTAATTCAACATACCACCGACAATGACATGCACATCACATGTCTTGCTTTTTATATGAATAAATGCTGTGTGTAATTAGCATTTAAAGTCCTTTCACTACTATTGTGAAAAATGTGCTTACCTTTAATATCTGACATTTTATCCTTATTTTCATCTTTCATTGCGAAAAATGTCATTTTCATCCATTGTCTTAATTAAAAGCTATGAAATGACGAATATACACTTGTATTTAAACAAAACAAAAAGAAAAAGAAAGAATTAATTGCAATCATAGTCTCAAATTTTTAAAAAAAGTTCAAACTAGTCTCAAATAAATTATTAAAATGGTAATTAGCACATAATGTCCATACCTTTCACTATTATTGTGAAAAAGTCACTACGTTTTTTTTGGCATTTTCACCATTACTTACATATTGGATTGTGCAAACCATCATTTCTATCCATTTTCATTTAATTTCTCAATAAAAGCTGTGAAATGACGAATATACCTTCCAATTTAAGTAAAAAATAAAAAATAAAAAAAATGAAGAACTAATTACAACTATAGTCCCAAATTTTTTAAAAAGCGCAAACGAGTCCCAAATAAATTTTGAAAAAATTAGAAAATTTAAAAAAATTGTCTTTTTTCTTTTTTTTATTTAAATTTTAATAAGAGGATATATTCGTCATTTCATAGGTTTTTATTGAGAAATTAGATGAAAATTGATAGAAATGATGGTTTAGGCAATTTAAACTTTAAAAATTGATAGATTTTGTTGAGATTTTTTATGAAATTTAAACTTTATAAACTCTACATAATTACCAAGATTTTCATGTCAAATCACCAAGAAACTTAATTAACGTGGAACATACTTTGATCCATTGATTTGTATCTTGAATAATGAGTCTTGATCTTTTATTCTTCATTTTAATTGTTCCAAACTTTTTTCTTGATTCTTGATTGTAGGTTTATAGATCATCCTCTTCAATATACTTTTTCTTGTATTCTTGTGTTGATGAGATGCCACAAATAATGAGAAATTATATATGAATTGAGGATCATAACCCTTTATATAGTTTTCATATGTATTCGGCCAATCATCAAATACAAACCCTAATGGANTGAGATGCCTCAAAGAATGAGAAAATCAAACATATATTTGGTACCATAACCCTTTATATATTTCCATATGTAGTCGGCCCATCGTTAAATAAGTACAAACCCTAATGGATCCGGTCTCTACACATATAATCCAGAATACCCCGAGAACGACCTCGATGTATATGAATCCTTAATATAAAAGAGGCGTCACCAAAATCTTTCATCTCAAAATTCTTTGATAGAAATCTCTTGATTTCGTGCAATAAGCCTATATCATTGCAGGCAAGCAGTATGTCATCAACATACAATACCAGAAATATATACTTACTCCCACTGAACATGTGGTAGACACAATCATCAACCACATTCATCTCAAAACCAAACGAGATGACTATTTGATGAAATTTGTGATACCATTGACGGGAACCTTGCTTAAGCCCATAGATGAATTTCTTTAATTTGCAAACCATTTTCTTTGAGTCTCCGACACAAATTTTTCCGGGTGCACCATATATATCGTCTTATCAATGTCATCACTAAGAAACGTCGTCTTTACATTCATCTGATGTAGCTCAATGTTAATATGTGCCATAAGTGCTATTATAATCCTGAAAGAGTCTTTTGTTGAAATTGAAGAGAAAG